AGTAACCTCAGGCCGTTGCAAAAGTGCTGAATCATTTGCCTCCAGGTACCCTCACTGGAAAAGGTCCTTGTGCATCTTTGAGGTGCTGCCCTCCAATCCATCTCCATTCATTGTAAAAGCTTTACTGCTTCCAAAAAATTGGAGAACGTCTACACTGAAATAGATACGTTGCAGATGAATATGTTACATAACTTTAAAATATGCTTGACAATTTCAAACTCTTTATGTGCACATAAATTAGGTGATCAAAAGGTGAATGAGGGGCATCTCTGGGACATGCTTTAAGGCAGAGGTCAAAATGATTTATCAAGTGAGTGCCTCACGTTTCTATGACCTTAACAGTTTGCAGAGAAATTTAGCACCCAGTCTTGGTAAATGAATATTTAACATGTGTAGAGCCTGTGTAAATGGTACCTCTAAAACGCTTAAGTTCTTCCTTATGGAAAGGCTTGTGTTTGAGCTTCTTTGTAAAAGCACTCAAGGTTTCTTGAATGAATGAATGAATGACAAAGTGAGTCTTTTTTCCTCCTCAGTGCCAAAGGTCAGTTTAAGCCAAGCCCTTGACTGAGTCATTACAAACTCCTGGAATCACTCATAAAAATGAACACAGAGGATACATTTGCCAGGACCAGATTAGAATTAGTTCTGCTCAAACTGTATCGTTTAAACATGGGAGGTGCTGTCAGGGCTGTGCCTGCACATCAGGTTATGTTCTGGATCGTGATGGTGTTGATGGCTCTAACGAGCACTCCCTTCACTAGGTTGGGCAGACTTTAACTGTTCAGAATTTAAAGCTCTTTCACATACTTGTCTTACGTGGGATAGATCAGTCTCTCAGCAACCTTTTTTGGTAAATATGGCGTAGGCACAGAGATAATGACACTGAGGTTCTCAAAGGCTCACCGGCCTTTGTCCACTGACTATGAAGCAGATGGGCAGCCCCTACACCTTGGCTGGAGTGGCTTCTCTTTAAAAAGAGATATTGTCCTTTCTGTTCTCTAAAGAGGCAGCTCAAGCTCTTTGAGGTTACAGAGAAATCAGCTTCCCAGTTTAGGGGAAACCGGAGCAGAGCAGATCTCATGCAAGTTTCTAATCCTTGGATTTTTCATAGAGTTCTCCTCTGCCTCCTTCTCCTCCCCTGGGCACGCGGCATTCCAGCAAGTGCAAAATGTCTTAAATTCAGGCTAATCATTCATTTGAAACAGAACAACAACAAGAAAAAGTAATAGAGCAAGTAAGTCCGAGTATTGCAAACTCCTTTAGCAAATAATTGTGAAATAGCGTTGACTTGGCCAGTTCCTGTTTTCATTTTCCATTAATCTATTCTGGTATCATTCCATTGAAGTAGATGTAGCAAGTTCTTGGTGATACTGAATAAAAGAATAAGAGGATAATTTTTAAAAGCCACCATATATTAAATAACCCACCGTATATTAAATAACCCACTATAATATAACCCACCATATATTAAATAACTCACCATATATTAAATAACCCACTATATATTAAATAAACCCCATATATTAAATAACCCACCATCTATTAAATAACCCACTATATATTATATAACCCACCATCAATTAAATAACCCACCATGTATTAAATAACCCCCATATATTAAATAACTCAACATATATTAAATAACCCACTGTATATTATATAACCTACCATATGTTAAATAACCCACTATATAGTATATAACCCGCCATATATAAATAACCCACCATCTATTAAATAACCCACCATGTATTAAATAACCCCCCATGTGTTAAATAACCCAACATATATTAAATAACCCAACATATATTAAATAAACCACCATATATTAAATAAACCACCTTATATTAAATAACTCACCATATATTATATAACCCACCATATATTAAATAACCCACTATATATTAAATAACCCACCATATATTATATAACCCACCATATGTTAAATAACCCACTATATATTATATAACCCCCATATATTAAATAACCCACCATCTATTAAATAACCCACCGTATATTAAATAACCCACCATATATTAAATAAACCATCATATATTAAATAACCCAACATATATTAAATAAACCACCATATATTAAATAAACCACCTTATATTAAATAAACCACCTTATATTAAATAACCCACCATATAGTAAATAACTCAACATATATTAAATAACTCACCATATTTTAAATAACCCATCATCTATTAAATAACCCACCATCTATTAAATAACCCACCATCTACTAAATAACCCACCATTTATTAAATTACCCACCATCTATTAAATAACCCACCATCTATTAAATAACCCACCATCTATTAAATAACCCACTATATATTAAATAATAGCAATGGCAACACATCTCTGACTCCACGTTTGAGTTCGAAACAGTCCCTTTTCAGGGAAAATTAAACATGCTTTAGAGGAGTTTCCAAGACTACTTGAAAATGTCCCCAAGCCAATATTAACACGTCTGTAGTGAGTGATTAAGCACAGAGATTATACACTGGAGCAGCTCAGGTGAAATGCCAAGATGCTAGTGACTTAGGGTTTCGGAAGCGCTTAGTGGGCAGCATGGTGGGTGGGGCCTGGTGGCTTCAAGCAAGACCCTCTCTTGGTCTGCCCCTGATTAGCTGTGTGAACTTGGGTCAGTGTCTTTGCTTCCTTGAACCTGCAGAGCCTCATCTACTTGTGGCAGAGCTGGGTGGATAATGATCCTGGTCTCAAAAGGGTTGCTAAGAAGTACTGAGTGTGGGGAGGGGCCTCCGCCTAGTAGGAGCTCAGAAAACAGCTGCTGTCATGGTGGCCAAGGTGGGAGAGAGAAGGGAGGAAGAAAAAGAAATAGAAGCTGTGCTTAGCTGAGGCTTGAAGCAGGAGAGCTTTAAAAATGGGAGGGAAATCGTATCAGAAGCAGATTGCGATGTAAGCAAAATGCCCCATTATCTGAGTGAGGATTTGGGGGTAAAAATCTGACACCCAAATTCTTTCCGTGTGCTACTAATAGCACCACGGAGCAGAACAAATGGAAGGCATTTACCTTTCACCAGCTCTCCCCCGCGCTGGCTTTGGATGGGCAGTCAGTTCAGGCACCAGAGCCAACTGGAGGCTCTCAGGCTGGAAGGATGAAATTTGTAGCCTCTTCCTGGTTGCTTCTCTACTGCAAGCCCACCTCGCCAGGGCTTCGCAGCCCTCCTTTGGTCCCTTTTATTTTTTAATTTTTAAAAAATATATATTTTTTGTTTGTTTATTTTTTTGGCCGCACCATGCAACTTGCAGGATCTTAGTTCCCTGACGGGGATGGAATCTGGGCTCCCTGCAGTGGAAGCACAGAGTCCTAACCACTGGACCACCAGGGAATTCCCCTTCGGTCCCTTTTTAAAGGGAAGACACCTGGCGATGGTCCTTTGGAGGGGAGAAACGCAACCCTCCGTCCTTCCAGGTTCCTCGTTGCCACACTGGTTTTGCACTATTGAAATGAGAAGGGGTTCAAAATATCACTCTGGGGTCATCTTCCCTCATGCTCTCTGCTAGCAAGGAGTAGGCTGGGCGAGCATTTGGTGTCAAGAAGAGACAGCGTGGACTGGAACATTGTGTCCCAGGGGATTCCCTGGCAGAGCTCTGAGCAGTCCCAGAAAACAAAGTCTCAGAGCTGGCCAGGATCGCAAAATGAGAATGGTGCATTTTCGGATCTACCGCTCAAAGCCAGATCCCAGGTCTATGCCCGCTCACGGCACCCAGAGCATCGGGCTCACCTCCCTTGTAATCCTGTTTCTGTGTTGTGGTCAGCGGGCTCCCGCTCACCTTCCCCTCTAGTATCTCCCGCTCCCTGTGACAGCCTCCGCTGACACGGCATCTGGCACTGGAAGGTGCTCAGCGTGTGTTCCTAGGACAGATGACTTGAAATGAATGTTGTATTCTGGTTTAAGCTTTTAGTCCCAGGACTTTGGGTCCTCAAGAACCTTTGAAAGTCCTCATTAAGCTCTTTCTAGAGGATCATAAAAGCTTGTATCATAAAAGGTTCAGCTTTTGGCTTGGTCGACCTCTGAAGACGTAGCCTGCACAGCAGGCCTGGGAGGCCCTGAGAAATCTAGTCCAGCCCCTTTGGGTTACTGGTGAAGGCAAGGACACAGGAAAGGGGCAAAAGCTGGCATAAGCTCAAGGAGGTGGCGGAATCACCATCGGACCCTTAACAGCCCATTTATTTGACCAGGGCTCTCCATACCCCAGGAGGCAGTGTGGGATAGTGGTGAGGAAGGCAGGCTCTAGGAACCAGGCTGCTGGGTTCAAATCCTGGCTTTGCCACTTCTTAGATGAGTGATCTTGGGCAAGTCATTAAACCTGCCTGTGCCTCAGCTTCCTTCTCTGTAAAATGGGGATAACACTAGTCCCTACCTCCCTAGCTCCTTGGAGGGTTAAATGAAATAATATCTCTAAACATTTAGAGCAATACTTGGCACATAAGAAGCACTACATAAACATTTATTAAAATTATTGTATTCTATAAGATCTGAATAACCTAATAATCCCAATTCAATAAACATTTTCAGGCTTTGTTCTGTGCCAGGAGCAGCATGTGGATGGGATTCCAGATGAACTAGTCATGGATTTGGCCCCCAAGCTGCTTGCAAAATCCTTTTAATGGGAACATCATGAAGAAATGATGGACCTGACCCAGACTTGGGCTTGGAGAGCAGCAGACCCCTATAAAGGCCAAGGGCAGACAATCCAAGCTGTAGCTGTCCACATTATACAGATGGGAAGGTGAAGGTCCCACATGAGAAATCTACTGCTCTCTGTGACCAACTGTGTTTTCCAACAGTGGTGGCAACTATACCTCCCATTCCATGTGCTTTTCTAGAGCCTTGCCACTTCCCCACGAAGAGGTGGCGTCTGATTCCCCTCCTCTTAAATCTGGGCAGGGCTCCCAACTTGCACAGAAGGAATGGAATGCTGCAGAAATGATGCTGAGTGACTTCTGAGGCCAGCTCGAAGAAGGGTGGGGCTGGGAAGTGAGGTAGGCTCCGACCTTTGAAGCTGCGAAATTTGCCTTTGGAGTCCTGAGCAGACATTTACGAAACCTGAGGCTGCCATGCTGTGGGGAAGCCCAGGTCACAAGGAGAGGACACGTGTGGGTTCTCTGGCTGACACCACCAGCTGAGGTCCTTGCCGACAGCCAGACATGTGAGTGAAGATGCTTCCAGATGATTCTAGTCCCTAGCTGCTAAGTCACCCCCAGCCTTTGAGTTTTTCCAACTGAGTCTTTAGAGAGTGGGTAACAGAGTCAAGCCCGTTCCCTTTCCAAATTCCCAACCCACAGAATCCGTGCCTAAACTAAAATGGCTATTTCAAGCCACTAAGTGTTGGAATAATTTGTTATGCAGCAGTAGTAATAAGAACACTGCCCTCAGACCTTCTGCTAGGACTCATTCTTTTAAGATTCTCAGCCACAGACAACTCTTTCTCCAGAGATCTTAGGGGAAGAAAGCGTGTGCATGGCACAGTTAATAAGATTTTTTTCTTCATGAGTCTAGATTCCCAGAGATCAAAGATGTTACAGCTAGAAAAGTTTCTAGAGCTGGCATGTGTAGGGAAGAAAAACTGTTCCCTTCTTCCCTTTTGGTTCTTTGGCTGGTCTAACAATTAAACCAACATAAAACAGAGTAACAGGAGAAAAATTTAATTTCATATATACGGGAGTCCATAAAAATATGACCCAAAGAAGTGACCAAAGCAGGCAGCTTTTATACCTTTTAGACAAAGAAACGAAACATCTGTGAAGAATTGACAAGACAGGAGTTTGGGCTTTGGGCAGTAAATTAGTGAAGAAATAACAAGGTTTGTTTAGACAGCCTTCTCCACCCTAAGTTCCCTACCTCTGGTGATAAGGATGTCTCTCTACCTCCTTGTACAGGGAGGGTACATTTTACATGGGAGATTTATTCCCTGCTTTCAGGGGGATAAAGAAGGGTCAGAGTGTCCTTGCTGTTTCTTAAGTAGATTTAATTCAAAATAATCTATGTGCCAGAGCAGCCTACTTCGGGGTGACACTTTCTGCTCTCCATCACATGCTTGCCAACACGAGGGAGTCATCGCCAGCAATGCCGGCAGAGAGGGCAGAGGAAGGTGGTGAAGCCTCCCTCACCTGCCCTCACAGCCCTTCGGCTGAGTGAGCACGGATCACAGCGGCTCGTGCAGATGAAGATGCCGAACACTGGAGCAATGTTGAGTCCACCTGGACGGATAGAATTTCCCATAAAGGAAGTGACGAACCCTGCATTCAGTTGGCAAGATAGTCCCCACATTTTTTAGCCCCTGTTATTCCTTTACTATCTGCTACTTGCCCAGAATCCCATGTTTAATGTCTATTATTTTGTTCAATCCTCATGATCAGGGATCAGAAGTAGTTTGTCAGCCTCATTTTAGAGGTGTAGAAACTAAGGCTCAAAGACTAACCCAAGAGCACATGTATCTAATTAATGGTGAGGCTCTGACTTAAACCATCTGATTCCAAATTCAGGTCTCCTGTTACTGTACTCTGAAAAGAATCCCTGTTCTGGAGCAAAAAATAAAATAAATAAAGTAAAATAAAATAATTTTACGTGATGTCTCTTTGTTCGAAGGTTGTCAGGCAAGTGCTCGTTAAAGGTGTGGCGTTTCTCACTTTTTCAGACCATTCCTAAGTAAGAGATTTCTGCACTTCCTTTGTACAAAGAAGTGAGTTTTCTGGTCTGAGTGTTGGCTTTGTGTGGACGTGAGATGAAACCAGAGGTAGTTGGAAATATTTGCTGCTATCTATGTGCAAGTACTCCCCCCAGGACTGACTTTAAGCCACCAAGTTGACGTCACTGACCGTGGCATTGAGAAGTGACATGCACCTTCCATGCTCCTGAGCCAGGACTAGCTAACTCCAGCCATGGGTGGAACCAGTGCAGTTACAGGCTTCTTGGACCCCTTAGTTTTTCCCAGAGCAATCAAAACAGCTTCCACTCAAAAATTTCAAGTTATCAATGACAGAGAGAAAAACAATGCCACTGTCCCTGAAGCCAGGAGGGCGGGCCTATTTCTGAAGACCTCTTCTATGAAGGGGGACCATTCTGGAGTGGCGAGCAGCCCTCAGCTCCAGAGAACTCCTTGTATCTTTCACCGGTAGCCCAACCGCAATGACAAAGGCATTGAATGCTGATGCCTCAGCATGGCATGACCATCTGCTCAGGTAGGGGTCGAGGTGGAGGGCGATATTGCAGGGCTGGGTAGGAGACAGACGGTCCCTGGAAAGGAAGCCTCAACCTTGCTCCATAGGTCTGCCATGCAGGCCTGGAGCTCATGGGGTCCCCTTGGCTTCCACTCTTCTGGGACTATGGATAGAAAGAAACGTTGAAGGGAAGAAGGGGGGCCCAGTGACTGCCGTGACTCTTTCAAAGGGGTGGGAATGCCCCGTCTCTCACCACCTGTCTCCCCAGTGCCTCCCTTCCCTTTGCCCTAGATGTCTGGTAGCATGGCCTTCTATTCCTATGGGAAATCAGATGGCGTAAGATGGGTGAGGCCCTCAAGGGGGAGATCTGGTCTAGCTGGAGATAGATAGACACCTGAGGGGTATTGATGTACAGGAGGCAGCTGACACCCAGAGAGCGGGTGAGCACCCCGTGTGAGGACAGACAGCTGGTGGGATTTGTCCACATTCCCCAGGATTCAGCAGCTGGCCCGGTGCAGGTAGAGGCAGTCAGAATGAACGAGAGGGTCCTTGATCCGGGTCCTGCTCTTCTGTGCCCCCATCTCCACACCTCCCCAGACAAACTGAACCCCTTGCAATCCCTTCAACACCCAGACTTCTTGCACTTCGTCACTATTCTCTTTCAGTAAATGTACGATCCCTCACTCTGTTCTACCCGTGTAACATCTGCTGGCCGTTTGAGACCCATCTAGGTTTCACCTCCCAAAGAATCCTTTTCTGGACCCGGCCTCTCACCTCAACACACACACAGACACACACACACAGACAGACACACACACACACTCCACACCACCGTCGGAGCGGATATGGCCAGTTAAGGCCTTTCACCCTCTCAATCCCCATTTCCTCATCTGTAAAACGAGAAGGTGGATAAGCACTTGGGCTGTTCTAGAGTTCTGGGGAAGTCCATGCCGCGAGCCTGTACCCACATGGGTGCCAAGCAACCACACAGCCTCTCCATTCTGTTCCAAGGAGAAGCGCCTCAGGTCAGAACAATTTACTTGCAGGCACTTACAATGCAGGCTTGCCTACAGAGCCTCCAATTCCATGCTGACATTTTTTTTTTTTTTTTTTTTTGTGGTACGCGGGCCTCTCACTGTTGGGGCCCCTCCCGTTGCGGAGCACAGGCTCCGGACGCGCAGGCTCAGCGGCCATGGCTCACGGGCCCAGCCGCTCCGCGGCATGTGGGATCTTCCCGGATCGGGGCACGAACCCGTGTCCCCTGCATCGGCAGGCGGACTCCCAACCACTGCGCCACCAGGCAAGCCCTGACATTTTTGATAAAGCCAGCTTAATGGAGAAAAATGCCTATTCCCTAAACAAGACAGATTTTGGTAGGAGTTGGGGTGGGTGGTGAGGGAACTTCTATTTATACATCACATTTCTCTAATTCTGAGGAGTTCAAGCAACCTTTTGGCCTTGCTTTACATTTCCCACCCATCTCATTAATAAAGATTAATGAAATGACTAGAATCTATTGAGAAAAACAAATCAAAAATGACAATTTTCAGTCCTTTCGCCTAGAAACATGGCATGCACAATTTGCCCATCTCATAAAATTCCATGCAGTTAAAACTGTGGTTATTAGGCAATTAATACTTTGGTTTTGGTTCTGCTTACTCTCTGGAAATGCTGCTTTCCAAAAGCATAAATGTGACAGGAAATTTCTTCACTCCGTTTATCCCTACGTAGCTTAAATATTATTTCATAATTGCAAATGGGCTTTTTCCCTCTTGTGCAGGCAGGCTATGGCTGGTCTTCTCTGGAGTGTGGGTGTGACAATATGTTTATTTCCAGGGTGACAGAGAGGTGCAAATGAGTTCATGGATGGGAGAACCCTTTCTAAACTCCAAAACGTGAATGCGGGGAGGCACCATGGCCATGGCAGTCCTGGACAGGCTTGTAGCTCTGGGAGGTCAAGTGCCCTCTGACACTTGATGGGAGGATGGGGTGACACCCAGACAGGGCTGTGGGATGGAGTGAGGTCCTGGGATACAGACCCCTATTAGTACAGTGTAAGAATCTGACATGGAAATGATTTCACAAGACCAAGGTTTCTCCATGTTCTCTATTTCTCCTTTCCTTTGACAGTGTTGTCTCGTGAATGCCCCTTTACCCTCTGCTAAAGGAGTGAGATTTCGGTGAGCCCAGTTCCTCAACCTCAAAATTCGAGGAATTTGCAAACAGTCTCACGTGGCCCTGTCTCCAAGTCTCCTTGTGAACTCTCCCATCCCACGGCTACACGTATTTCTAGAAGAGCAAATCTGTCTGGTGCACTGGAAAATTCCGATGCCATTGGAGTCGTATTCGTTCTTACCCTCAAACGTAAATGTGCCCTGAGAGTCACTCAGGGACTCCTCATATGTACGGGATGGCTTTGTAAGAGACTTAACATGCAGAAATCAGGGCAGAGGACTTTCAGTAGAGGCTTCTAGATGCATCTCTTTTCATTCTCAGTCTGACCAAGTCCTGGTTAATTGATCTATTGAGGAGAAACCAATTCACACACACTGATACCTCCTTCCACTCCCACTGGGGCCCGGGCTAACCCAGCCCCACCACTTCTGCCACCAAATGAAATAAAGTCCTTCATGTTTTTCTCATTTGTCTTAGAAATCCATCACCAGAGAAGGAACTCTGGCCACATAAACCTTCCATGTAGAAGAACATGCCCACTAGGGTACTGCAGAAATGGCAGATCTCATTACTCAGAGCATAGACGAGGCAGACGATTTAAAATAGCAATCTTTTTGTGTATTTCAACAAATATTTTAATCTGGCCAGTATCAAGAATTCACTTTAATGAGACCAAGTATTTACAGATCAATTACTTTCTATAAGGCATTAGGATGGGAGAATATAGAGTTGATTAAAGACCCAAAGCCCCAGTAGAAATATAAAACCTGATATCTGAACAGTGTTTTATAGACCATTCTGCATAGGCCAGGATTTTCATGTTCTCCCAGCCTCCTAGTGAGGCAGGCAAGTCTGTGCTCTTTTGTAGAAACCAAAGCACAAAGTGAAGACTCGACTTGCCTGAGAATATACAGGTTGTTTATCACCCTAGTCCAAGGCAACGACCCTGGGTTCCTGCTTCTCAGAATTTCCCTAAGGTCCTGGGTTGTATTCCTAGGAAAAAAGGGCCTAGAATTTAGAATGCCTGGGGATGACAAATGGTGAATGGAAATGAAGAAGGATAAAGTCCAAGAGATCTCAACCTGGGATGGTGTGAAAAGTGTACGGCCAGACAGTGGCCTGCGGAGGGAGAGTATGCCAGCAAGTACAGCGCCACCGGACACGGCTCTGGGCAAGTCCCCCCTTTGCAAACCAGTCAGAGGGTAGCCGTCTATGTGGACCCAGCCTGTGTTATGTATGTACCAGATGTTCTTAGGACATCCAAATGTCTTCCCAGAAACCAAGAACTTTGGACAAACTCACCTGAGATGCCGGAGGGTCAAGGGGTTGTAGCAGCTGAGGTTTCTGGTCAGGGAGCGTGGTCCTGGCTGCCTGGAAAGGCCAATGATTTGCCATAGCTTTTGTTTCCGTGGCCAGCCTTCACAGACACTGTGGTCATAATCTGCTCGGCCCTTTAGAATCTATTATCAAGGGCCACAGTAGACCAGTCAGAATCCTTCCCTAAGATCTCAAGAGGCGTAATAATAAAAAATTGCAAAAGAATGGATCGGCAAGTAGAGCAAAAATAGAGCTAATGAACAGTCCACCCAGTTTTCTACGAACTCTTCTTTCATTTACATAAAAGCAAACACCCGGATGAACTCTTCCTGGTACACTACTCTCCAGCATCCGATGCACTTACATAGATGTTAGGGCATGCTATGCCATCTTGGTATTAGTAACTGCTATTTTCTCTATTTGAGTGACGAGACTCAGTGAAGTTAGTGTTTGACCCAAGCACGGTGGTGGTGAAGACTTTGAATCCAAAACCTATGCTTTTTCCATCACACCAGTGGTCATTCCATGGTGCTCGATGGGACTTGAGAGAATCCACAGGTGTCATTTTGGGATGCTTCAAGCATAGCGGTTTCAAGCGTAGTGGTTTTAGTTTCTACTTTATTTTATACACTGGATTTCGTGTACAATTTCATTTGAGTCAAAGGTTCTGGGCATATGAAGGTACTGAAGTTCATGATTCTCCAGCTTTTAATCTAACATTTCCAAGTGAATAAGCCTGAGGACCTTAGATAAATTATTTTTATATCCACTTGATCCTGGAGTGGTTGGAACCTTGGATCGATCTTTGTAGATGTCCCTTTAGTAACCCGAGCCTCTTTTATTTGTGGCAAACCAACCTGGGGCGGTACGAATGGATTTGTGCCCTGGTTGTAACATTGAATCTTTGTGTGACCTTGAGCAAGTCACTTCCTCTCCCTGACCTCAGTTTCCTTATCTGTAAAATGAGGACATTGACCTAGATCAGCTTCCAGGCCTGACATTGCAAGAAAGCTTGTGGGAGGCATGGAGAATGTTGCAGTCTTCAAAAATAAAGTACCCATGCTTACTGGCTGGCAGTCTGACAGTAGGGTTGCCAGATTTAGCAAGTAAAAATACAGGCCACTCAATTCAATCTGAATTTCGCATAGATAACATTTTATTTTTTTTAGTGCAAGTATATTCCATGCAATATTTGGGATATAATTATACTCAAAAAAGTACTTGTTGTATATCTGAAATTCAAATTTATCTGAGTGCCCGGTATTTTATTTGGCAACCCTACCTCAGAGGTATATTGTCCTCTCTGTTCCTTTAGCAAAAAACTGAAACAGATGAACAAGCTAATGAACAACAACAAAAATAAAACCTTGTTACATTTTGTTCTTGTGATCTTGGTGAAATCTTCCTTTTTGATCTTTCAACTTGTGACATCACAGCACCCCAAATATTAAATGCGAAAGGTGAAAACGATACTAGTTCCAGTTTTTCCTTTAATTTAACATTTATTGATTGATTTGTGTTTAAGAAACACAATTCCGTGCTCGTATATCACATTCTGTGTTTGCCTTGGGGAGATTTTTTCCCCCGTGTCTGGTGATCCAGCAAATGGCTCTTGACTGGTGTGAGCCTCTCTTATTCCTGCCTTAAACATGTCCGTTTGGCCAAAACTCACCCTGGCATTACAAGGAATTCTGTTGGCTGTCTCAGTTCCCTTCAGACCTTATTATTTGTGTTTTAATACACACACACACACAATCCAAACCTGCATCTTTCGCTTTTAAGCCAGTGATTGCGTGTGGCTGGTGGTTTGGCGATTGTGAAATAGTCTTGAAATATCAGTGAGGAAAGTGTTCCTCCTGCATTTGTGGCCCAACTCCCTGCAGGAGCTTCAGGTTTCCCTCTGTCTCCTTGGGCAGGAGAAAGCACCAACATGGGGTGGCCGTGGGCCAGGGAAGCAAAGAGACTGGCAAGGCCGAGCTCCCTGTGTTCATTCTTACTATGTTTTCAGACGTCCTTTGCAAACATTATTTGGTTCTGTTGGGAAATCACTTGTATCCTGGATAGAATCGATGGTACACCTGGGCACTGCCAAGCTCATAGGTGGGGAGGGAGGGAGGACTAGCTGAGCATCCAGCTGGAGGATGACCCTCTACCCTGACCCTCGATGTTCTGAACATCTTTACACGGATTTGAATGAGGAGGTGATGTGCGGAAGGAGGCACTATGCCTGCGAATCCAGAGACTTGCATTTTCCTCCTGCGCCTGCCAGGGACTCATGGCCAGACCTTGAGTCTCAGGGTCCGTCCAGTCACTGGGGGTCGGTTGAGCTGATCTCTAAGAGATGTTCCAGTCCTGCCTTTCTCATTCATTCATTCATTGTGCAACGCTTGTTCCTCTGAACACAGGTCCGGAAATAGAAAATTGTGCAACCTGGGGAGGACAGCAAGACCCTGAAAAGAACATAATTTTCTCCCATTTGGATTCACCCAGTGGGACTCTGAGAAATCAAGGTAAGCATCAGAACACACAGGCATAACCAACTTTCATTTTATTCTCTCCATGCAGTCAGTACTTATATGTGCCTTATGCACCAGGCTCTGCTTGGGGGACAGAGAAGAAGCAGGCAGGGTCCCTGCCCTGGGAAGCTCGCAGTCCAAGGGGGCAGAGAGACAGGGACACCGGCAGTTCCCCCGAGCTGTGGCTTTTGCAGTGGTGAAGGGAAGGGCAGAGCCCTGCGGGAGAACCGAGGAAGAAGTGGTTCATTTATCTCTGCTTATTTCTCTTGTGGAAGTGATATGTTGGGGGTGGCTTGGACCATTGGCGCAGCAAATAGAGGAAGTATATGAAATCAAAAATAGAGGAGTGAGGAGGAAATAAAAGTTCTAATCTAACAGAAGCACACAGTGGCCTGACAAGGACCGGGGCTGTGTTAGTAACTTTCCCTGGTGCTTTCGAAGTTGGAATATTTCTCCAATTAGAACTGGGCTCAGGGAAAGCAATGTGGCTCCCGGGTCAAGAAGTGACGCTTGCTGGACACCAAAGGCAAAGCACTGGGCGCTCCTGTATCCCTGGGGAAGGGACTCAGGGCTTCCCACGGGAGGATGGGGAGGCCGCTCTCAGAGGTTTTGTGTTCCTCTTCAGGCCACCTGGTCTGGCCACTGCCGCAGATGGGGACAGGCTGGGCCCATGAAGGCCTTGTGTGCCCGGACTCCTCACTGAGGTGTGAGAACTCCCATCCCAAAGGGTACCTCTCCTATGTAGGCTGCAGCAGTCCATGATGAGAGGACAAGCTGCCCTGGGAATAAAGGGCCGTACTGCTGTCCTGACACAGGGCTTCCAAATGCCTGCTGTTGTGGAACGTGCACGGGGTCTGTAACTGTCCCTTGTTTCAACCCCACAGAGCTCTCCAGTCGAACCTCCAACTCTCTCCACAAGCCCAAACTCCATAATCCATCCACCCATCCACCTGTCTCTCACCCGTGACTCACAGTTCCCAGCACATTGTCAGTTGTCAATAAATATTCAAGAGAATGACAATTACATGTCAACTGAAAAAAAAGTGAAGATGAAGTAGTGCTAATTAGGGTGGCCCCTAGCCCAGGGACTGGTATCTTTATAAGAGAAAGGAGAGGGAGATTGAAAGCCGAGACACAGAGAAACGGAGACACGCAGAAGGGGAAGAAGAGAATGACATTCAACATCAGAGGTGAGACTGGGGTGACACAGCTGCAGGCCAAAGGACGCCAAGGATTGCCTGTAGCCGCCAGGAGCTGGGAAGAGGCAGGAAGAAGTCCTCAGAGGCAGCCTGGCAAAAATAAATGAATGAATGAATAAATAAATAAATACTTATTCAATGGCTGACTAAACATCGAATGGACTTAATGACTGAGTGGAGAAAATGTAGAAAATGATCGCAGGCAAGGTTAGTGGAGGGCTCTTTGAGCTGGAACCTTAGAATCTCAGCATCAGCTGCTCCCTTCTCCAGGCGTAGAAGCCAGAGAGGCACCTGGGAGGAAGGAGCACGTGTGCAAAGTGCGCTGAAGTCCAGAAGGTCAGTTTAGGAAACGTCAGGCTGGCACTTAGGTTTAAGTAAAATACGAGGTGAGGGAGGTTGGTTGAGGGCAAATCACGAGGGCATGGACTTGACCTTATCAGTAAAGGGAGACTACACAGATTACAGGGCAAGAACTTAATTTCCATCGGAGCTCAAGAATCTTCTGCTAGAAGCCCTTTAAAGTTTGTCTGGAACATTTTGAATTGCCTCCAATAGTTAGTTAAGTTGTCCCTAAACGTCTCCGAATTTCTGCTGAGCACTTCTGGGCTCTCTCAATCTGGCTGGGCCCCGCCCCCCCCCCCACCCCCCCCCCCCCCACTCTGCTTCTGTCTCTGCTGATGCCTTATTGTGACGACACTTGGCTGCCTTTTGTTCCACACGGTGGCCTCCAAAGTCCCCAAAGCTAAGGGTGACAGAAACCAGTCATGGTTGCCATAAATCTCGGGTGAATTCCACGCCCAATTTTTTTTTTTAACATCTTTATTGGCGTATAATTGCTTTACAATGGTGTGTTAGTTTCTGCTTTATAACAAAGTGAATCAGCTATACATATACATATATCCCCATATCCCCTCCCTCTTGCGTCTCCCTCCCTCTCACCCTCCCTATCCCACCCCTCTAGGTGGTCGCAAAGCACTGAGCTGATCTCCCTGTGCTATGCGGCTGCTTCCCACTAGCTATCCATTTTACATGTGGTAGTGTATATATGTCCGTGCCACTCTCTCGCTTCGTCCCAGCTTACCCTCCCCCCTCCCCATGTCCTCAAGTCCATTCTCTACGTCTACGTCTTTATTCCTGTCCTGCCCCTAGGTTCTTCAGAACCTTTTTTTTTTTTTTTTTTAGATTCCATATATATGTGTTAGCATACGGTATTTGTTTTTCTCTTTCTGACTTACTTCACTCTGTATGACAGACTCTAGGTCTATCCACCTCACTACAAATAACTCAATTTTATTTCTTTTTATGGCTGAGTAATATTCCATTGTATATATGTGCCACATCTTCTTTATCCATTCATCTGTTGATGAACACTTAGGTTGCTTCCATGTCCTGGTTATTGTAAATAGAGCTGCAGTGAACATTGTGGTACATGACTCTTTTTGAGTTATCGTTTTCTCAGGGTATATGCCCAGTAGTGGGATTGCTGGGTCGTGTGGTAGTTTTACTTCTGTTTTTTTAAGGAACCTCCATACTGTTCTCCATAGTGGCTGTATCAATTTACATTCCCACCAACAGTGCAAGAGGGTTCCCTTTTCTCCACACCCTCTCCAGCATTTATTGTTCGTAGATTTTTTTTGGTGATGGCCATTCTGACTGGTGTGAGGTGATACCTCATTGTAGTTTTGATTTGCGTTTCTCTAATGATTAGCGATCATCATTTTATTTATCACTTTATTTAACTCTTGCTGAGCCAGAGCAACGAGAGACTAACAGAGCACCATGGAACTCAGTAGTCCTCCACCCCCACATCAGAGGGCTCCTCTGAAAACCCTCCTTGAGGTCATTACTTATCTATCCTCAGATCGCCCATCCAAGGCAATTCCAGCAAGAAGTGTCTGTGGCCGTGTGCAAAATGATGGCCCCCCCAAACGGCTACCATGAAATTTACTTTTTATGCCCTACTTCCTGCCTATATCATATCGATGGGAAAATTGAGAGAATTGCAGGAAGAAGATGCAAAAGCATCTGGGGTTTTTGGAGATGAGGCGGGTCAGATTTGAAAGCTCATGGGCTTAGACACTGTTGAATTATGTTCCCCAAAACGATGTGTTGAAAGTTCTTACTCCCAGTGCCTTATGAAATGTGACTTTATTTAGGAATAGACATTGTAGGTGCAATTAGTCAAGTTTAGACAAAGTCATACTGCATTAGGGTGGGCCCTTAACCCAATATGACGGGTGTCCTTATAAGATAATATGAAGACACAGAAACTATGCCACGTGGCAACAGAGGCGGAGACTGGAGTGCTGCACCTGCAAGCCGAGAATCACCAAGGATTGTGGGTCCCCACCAGGTGCCAGGAAAAGGCCAGGAGAGTCCAGATGGTCCTGGCCCTGCTGACACCTTGATGTTAGCCTTCTAGCCTCCAGAACTGCCAGAGAACAAATGTCCATTGTTAAAGCCACCCAGTTTGTGGCTCTCTGTTATAGCAGCCCCAGGTAACTAACACAGACACAAACTGCTGAAAGGGACTGGGATTCTTTCCATCCTATCTTCCTGTTCCAGGAGCAACGCTCTGGCAGTAGTAGGTAGAGGTGGACTGTGTCTCCTGGCAGCAAGGTCCAGGGATGTTCTTCTGGAGTATCTGCAGCACTGCTAGGTGTCCCATGGGTCCTCAGTAATGCCTTGTTTAAACCAGATTTTAAATAATGGTTAAAGCCTCATAGAACAACATTGAGGGGAATTCAAAATATGGAAAAGACTCATCACATCCCTTCCCTTTTCCCATGGCCCCTGCCAGCAGTCTTGCATTTGCATACACTTGTATGTGTTTGCACCCTCAGTCCACACTTGTGCTTGGGAACTGCCCTTCCCCCACCAATATTGTTGTTACGTCATCTTATATTGTGGGCCTAATATTCCATCTGGTCGTTATACCACAAGCATTTCACCACTTCACTCTTTTGGGGCATTAATTTTAATTATTTTTTCTATTTTACTCAGATATTGTTACAAAGAACACCTTTATGTTTACAATTTATTTTCCAGTTTTATTGAGAAATCATTGACATATATCGCGGTATAAGTTTAAGGTGTATAGCATGATGGTTTGATTTGCATATATTGTGAAATGGTGATCACAATAGGTTCAGCTAGCATTCGTCTTCTCATCTAGATACAATGAGAAGAAATGTGTTAACAAATTTTGATTCTTTTGGATTATTTCCTTTGGATAAATTTCTATGATAGATTTACTGGCTCAAAGAGTACAAATAGTGTTAGAGATTTTGTTATATATTATTGTATTGTTTTCTAAAAGAAAACCAAGATACAGTGCCATCAGAAAATATGTATCAAATAGTGCTTTACTACACTTTTATTTTCTGAGGTTGAAAATATACTTCTTTTCGCTGTAGAATTGTCCTTGTGTTAGTTGATATTTACCCATTACTCTATTGGGTCCTGATTGTATTGGCTATCTATATACATCAGAGGTATTAAATTAAACCACCTGTACCATATTTTTAGAAATAAATAGCTTTCCTTTCACTTTAATGGCATTTGTTTTTATTGAAGAGAGTTACTTTTTTTTGAGGAGAAGTTGTGGTTATACAGTTGAATTTTTTATTCCTTTGGAAGTTGTACTTTTTTTTTGTTTTTTTTTGCGGTACGCGGGCCTCTCACTGCTGTGGCCTCTCCCGTTGCGGAGCACAGGCTCCGGACACGCAGGCTCAGAGGCCATGGCTCACGGGCCCAGCCCCTCCATGGCATGTGGGATCTTCCCAGACCGGGGCCCGAACCCGTGTCCCCCGCATCGGCAGGCAGACTCTCAACCACTGCGTCACCAGGGAAGCCCATGGAAGTTGTACTTTTATTTGCTATTTACCAAATAAACATTCCTCCAAACTTGTGATTAAATATTCCATTTTACTTCAGTTATTTCTATGGCTCATTTCAATAGTTCACTTTTTAATCCATTTGGAGTTTGTTTTTTCATATCACACAAGGTGTAATCTAAATTAATTTATCTCCAAATTACGATCCAGTTACATAAAATAACTGATTAAATAAGAGTTAATTATCGCCACTGATGCTTACTTGATTATATACTAAATAATCCTATGTACTTTTCTCTGTTATAAAAATTCACGTTCTTTACTCTTTGAGTATTGTAAATTTTTATTATTCCTACTTTGTGATTTGGTTTAACTCCTAGTATGTCTCCTTCTTCTATTATTGATTATTTTTACAGTATTTTCTTTTGTGTATGGGTTCTCCTGTATTTATATTTCCTATGAGCTTTACATCAATTTGGCAAGTTCTAAAGGGAGGCCATTTGATATTTGGGTTAGTGTCCGTTTAAGATATACAACCATTATTGGGTGATCACTGAACTTGAACTTGAGTCATCCCTTCTAAGTGGTGTAGTTGGGCATAAAGTACCGGGCTTTACAATGAGACCATGCCTGGGTATGAACGTGGTCCTGCCACCTGCTAGCTTGTCCAGGTTATTTAACCACCCTGAACCTTACTCCCCCTTACCCACACGGAGACAATAAGACCTAACTCAGAGGGATGTCCTTATTATTACTAGCGAGGGAAGGGATATGAAACAGCACAATGTCTATCACAGTTTGGGTACTTAATTTTCATTTCCTTTTTATTTTCTCCCAGCCACAATTTGTAGCTTCATTTGACCTTCTTAAGCTTGCCCCCAATTTTTATGCACTATAAATGGATTCCTTAGCCCCTTTACACTCCCACAACTGTGTCTTGCAGACACACAACGATGTTACAGATCATCGCCCTTTTATCTTGCACTCCACCCTCTTGTGAAGCTCTCTCGTGTCACTGTGGATGGTTCTTTTCAGGTTCTTACAGATTTTTCGGGTAGACACAGGCTTGCGGTTTCTGAAAGCCATAGTTATGTTCCTTAAAGAGATACTAGAGCATTTCAGTTCCCTGAGCCATGTGGGTGGTTGCCTTCTACCAATAGTCAGGAGTTACTCTTGGTTTCCTTCTTCAAGGGCCTTATTCTTGGGTCTCCATGCTCTGAACCTCTCACCAAAAGAGGTGAAGTTCTTCCACAGGAAGATTGGAGATCCACCTTGGTACTTCCCACCCCACCCTCAGCTAGAACCTGAGCAGCCTGTGGTGGTAGTTTCAGGTTGGGAGTCTTTTTTTGACCTCCTGTGGACTTTTCACCTTCACATATGCAGGTTTATAGGCAAACGGCCCCTTCAGGAGCAGAGACCATGTGAGATGGCAGCTGCTCAGGTGCCTGGGACCTGAGTTCTCATCTAGGCTGTGCCAATGCCCGGCGGTTGCTCTTCCATGTGTTTACATCTCTCTCTTTTCCAAAAAGGATGTACGTTTGCTTTATACTATAGGAAAAACGCAAAAGTAAGTTACAAGCGGGAGGAGGGAGAAAGAAGACAGGAAAATAGGGGCTGGAGAAAAAAATGGAGTTGGGAATAACAAAACCACAAGTACAAACCCCTGTGCACTTGTATTTGACCAAAGTTAACCTTGAAGTTCCTAGTAGTCAGAAGACAGAGAGAAATACTCTGAGAAAGTTATTTTATCTCTAAATCTCAGTTTCATCGTTGATAAAATGGTAATAAAAACACCTACATCATAGGATTGTTCTGAGGGTGAAATGAAATAAGAGGTATGAAACCCTCAAGTATATTGTGCAACACATAGGAGAGACTCTGCAAATGCTAGATTTTATTGTTACTCTGATTTCTTCTAGGGTTTCTGCTTTGAAGTCAGAAACCACCTACCTTCAGCACTGTGGCTCGTGCTTCAATGGACTCAGCTACAGAGTTTTATCCCTTTTCCAACGTGGTAGAGGCTGAGAAACGATGATCTCTAGTAAACTACGTTACTCATCTATTGGGGGACGTGGGGAAATTCATCTGCTTGCAACAGGTATGATGGCAGGTAAAAATAACCATGTTCCTTTGTGTAAGAGCCTTATTCCAACCCATTGCCCAAGACGAACTGGCCTCCGTAGAATAGAATGCTAGAGCTTAAAGGGGCCTTGAAGGCTCCTCCAACACCCTCTCTTTTCAGAGTGAGGGGGACCGCTGAATTTTCCAGCATTACCCAGCAAGAATTTGATGCACAAATTCCAGTTCTTTCTCTTGAAGGACCCTTTCATGAGAAGGACTAACGTGGAATTGAAGTCAAGGAGAAAGAAAATGGTGATTTATGTATAGTTTAGGGAAGTGAGAGTCAGTTTGAGTTCCGACCGTCCGTTCATTGTTTCATTGTTACTACTTTCAGCCACGGGTGGAATTGCCCATCCTTCTTCTTCCCTCTGCCGGCCCTGGAAAGTCAGGCTTCAGCTGCCAAAGAGGCTCGCTGTGAGAGCTCACGTCTTCTGGAAACGGTGGCCTTGTGCAATTTCTATCTGGTGTGGAGGAATGTAGGTATTTATAGGGCTGTGCTTTCCTCAGCGCTTTTATGCTTCAACAGAGAGGATCGCTCAAGCACGTCTTTGGGCTATTTAAAGCTCACAGAGAGCGCTCCCCTTCCCAGTGCGCACACATGTGCCCCGGAATCTCAGTGGAACACTGCTTGAATTTGAGTGGCCGTGTTTGACACTGAATCACAGACTGAGTTCATTACGCGTGAGACGAGAGGAGCTGCCCACCCCCCCACCCCCGCCCCGCCTGTGGCTCACAAGTGAAGCCCACACGCATGGGAGTAAGAAGTAGTCATAATGGTTATGACGAACTGATGCAGAAAGAGAATCCAGCTCCCAGCCAGCAGCCAAATCGCTTTCATCCAGGCTGATACGTGCCGAATATGTGGTTGACACTTCCACACGCACCCTCATCTTACCCTCCCGTCAGCCCGGCGAGCTGGGTGGTGTTGTCAGCCTCCCTTGACCCAGAAGGTCACTCAGAGAAGTGACCTAGGTCATGGTCACAAGTCAACCCAGGGTCCAGACTCCAAGCCCCTCATTCTTTCCTCGAGCCACCTCCATCTACTCCTGGTGAAAAGATAAGTGAAGAAAACTCTACCCCAAAACTACATCCGTGATTTCCAAGCAAGCTTCATTTTCTCCAGTTCCCAGTGCAGCCACTCGAGAATGACTTTGGTGTCACCTCTTATGTTAGGAAACTGTGTGCCAGGGAGATCGGTGCTGATAACCTTCAGTGCAGTGGTGATGCAACTTGATGATTTTAAATAATTTATTTTTGAGGTCGCAACCAGCGGAGTTTGTTTATCTGGTGAGTTGTACTTCCCCTCTTCCCTCTCCTATTTCCCTTTCTGAATCGGTCACTTGGGATGCTCATCTCCCTGTGCATCTGTGTGCACTTGAGATCTGAAACCCAAGCCGGTGCTACCACCAGCTGCAGAAGCATGCCACTCACAGGCATTTTTGGAAACCAAAAATGACCGGTCCCATAACTGTGATTAGATAAAGCTTGTAATTTGTGTTTGCTGTAGTCAGCGACGTGGTATTTCGGGACAAACAGCCGCTCTATGCTACATATAGCTTGGAATTTGCGGCTTTTGTGTAACCTGCCATTGCATGATCAAGGAGGTAAAGGAGAAAGAGAGAGAGAGGATGGATGAAGGGAGAGAGGGCGGGAAGCCCCGCTCAGCAGACAGGCGGAGGACCGGGGAAGCCGGAGAGCTCAAAGGGCCCGCGTGAAACATGTAGCTGACTTGTCCTCAAGAGAGATTCAGACAGTTGTTGTCAGGCTCTTGAACGGCCCAATCCTCCTTTCCTAACAGCTGGAGACATATGACTCCCAGTGAGAGGCTCAGCCGTACCCCGGGCTCAAGGAGGGATCCTAACCGGAGCCAGAGCGTGATTTACGAAGCCCAAGTCTAATTCTCCGGGGACTCAGCTTTTCAGTCCAGCTGATAGATATTCCCCGATCCAATGCTTCAGTTCTAAAAGGTCAGCCTCCTTCCCCGTCCGCAGTTCTGGGAACAATATCCTTGGCTTTCCTCTGAGTCTCAGCTGGATAAAGGCCTTCATTCATTCACTAAACATTGACCTAAGGCCTTCACATGCCAGGCCAGGAAGGACATTGTGGATACAGAAATAAGTCAGCCTGAATCCCAGGCCTCCACACAAAGGCACAATCAGTTCTGCTGTGTCCTTCTTCTCTGTCAAATGTGTACAATGAAGGTGTCTTTCCCTGAACAGAGAAAGTGCATCTCCCAATACTCACTCATCCCTAACCCTGAATAAGAAAGAGGAATGTTAACGTCATTGGGCACCGCGACCACATTTAACTCTGCCTTAACAGCTATCCTCTTACAACAGGTTTAAAGACATTGCTGCTTTTCAGATGGGAAAACTGAGGCCCAGAGGGCTGAGGGGACTTGTCTAAAGACGTGGAGCTAGGTGGTGGCAGATCCAGTGTGGAACTCAGGTCAGCCCGACGCCTAATCCTGAGCCCTTTCCTCCATTCCCTTGATTCACGACATCCAGATTATGCCTGTAAGTCGTAAATGGAAATTGTCCCATTCAATCAATATTTTAATTGATTTTGGGGGCTCAAATATATAGCAGATATAGATCACGCCCTTAAAGCACTTAGTATTTGTGGGAGGTGTTAATCTATGCACAGAAAGTTTTGTTAAAATGCAGAAAATGCCAAGTGACCCCGAAAAAGGGAGCAGAGAGTATTGGGAGAACTTGGTATCTGGGTAGCGTGAGATCACTTTCTGTAGGGCGCAGGCATCTGAGCTGACTCTTGGAAGGATCTGGAGGGAGATGAGATTGAGAGAAGACAGCATAAGATCACGCTCATCTCGGGGGCAGGTGGGGCACCGGGAGGGAAAGGCTGGGCTGGGTAGGAACTGGGAAAAGGCGTCATAGAGAAAGGAGCGAGCATAAGCTCAGGCTTAGAGGTCTAAAGTACTCGGCATGTTTGGAGAAGGCTGTTGTTATCCAGCACAGCCAGGAAGGATTGGAACGGTGAGGCGGGATGCTCCTTCAAGTGACTGTATGGATCAGTGGAAGCCCACTGACCCAGGGAACTCTCTGGAATGGTTGGATTTTGACGACTTTGCATATCTCAGGTATATCTTCTGGATTCATCTCTGGGCCACATCTCACAGGTCTTTTCTAGAGGACAGTGAGTAGGTCAAAGTTCCTGCCCTTGGCTCTATCTTTACCGAATTTTCAACTCAATTCAAGCTCTGTCTCCATGGTACTAAAGAGCTTAATAAAATGTGACACAGAGCTGTTTGCGTCATATCAGGGAGAACATCTGGATATCTGGAAACATCTGGACAGCTCGCCAAAATAAATAAATAATACTTTGTATCTGAGAGTGTTTGGTATTATGGGACATAAACAAAGTCTGAATCACCAGCATGTCTTTTAGAGCTTGTCTCTTGTCCACTTTCATCTTCCCTGTTTGTTGCAGGTATGACAAGCAATTCCACTTGAAACGTTATAGAACTGGTTGGTTCATCTCTTACTGTTATATCTTGGGGGAGGAAAAAGTAGGCCATCTCCTTAAAAAGAAATCCAGTTCATTTATTAAACCTGAAAAATATTTATTAAGACCCTTCTTAGTTTGAGGTCTTGTGCGGGAGTTGAGGACAGAGCGATGACCAGGATGCAGGCCTTGCCCTGCAGGAGGTCGCTATCTCACAACCAAGTAATCTCAACACAGAGTGATTGGGGCTAATAAACATGAACGCAGAAAACTTACGGGCGCAGATGAAAATGTTATTGACAGGGGAGAAGGAAAAAGGCGGGGGAAAGATCTGGTGATGGAGTAATTTTTGCCTAGAGTCTTCAGGGGTAAATTGGAGTTGTCTGGTAGAAAAGGGGAAGAGGCATCACAGGCTGAGGAGACGGCCAGAGCACAGGCGTGGAGACACCAGATGACTAAGAATGTTGGGGGAAATGTACGATGTTCAGATGGCTTCTGGGCAGAGTGAAGGAGGGCTGTGGTGAGAGATAAGTTCAGAGAAGAAGACAAGGGCAATAGGATGGAAGGTACCATGGCTTATAAAGCCCTGGCCTCATCCTGTGGGTCATGGGAAGCCCCACAACCCCAAAGCACCCTGTCCTTCCTTCCTACAGCTAAACACACACCAACCTGTCCACCTCACTCCCAGAGTTACCACCAAGAGAAGAAAGTGCCTATGACCACCAAAGACATTCTAGAATGTTCAACAGCACCGTCATTTGTAAGAGCTCCAAACCAGAAGCAATCAAACGTCTACCAGTAGGATAATGGCTACATGGATTGCCATATTTTCATATAATAGAATACATGACAGCAATAAATAGGAGTGAACAATAAAAAGTGAACAAAATAACGATACTCACCAGACATGGATGAATCTCACAGACATTACGGGGAACAAAAGAAGCCATTTATGTGTAATTTCATTTATATGAAGCCCAAGAACAGGAGCCTTAATCTGTAGTGCCTGAAGTCCGAACAGCGGTTATGGGGGTGGGTATTGACGGGAGAGGGCGTAAGAGAGCCTTTTGGGGAGCTTGGGAGTGTCCTGTATTTTGTACTGTTGACAGTTAATGTGGGTGTATATGTATGTAAAAACTCAACTGGCTCTACTGTGAGATTAGTATACTTTACTGAGTGTTTTAATTCAATAAAAAAGTAAAACAAAACAAAACTAACAAAAAATGTAAAAGCTACTCTAAATAGAATTTTCGAAATCTTGTTGTAATATATATATTGCATATGTATATACATGTAATATATATGTTGTATATTGTACATATACTATATATATAGTATATGTATATACATGTAATATATATGTAATGTATATGTATATCGGGTTCGGTTTTTCCAAACCCGAACGAACTTTTTAGCCAACCTGGTATTTTCCATTATGACCCAATCCTCTACCAACAAGTCCCTTTCCCTGCGACCAGCCCTCCTGGGGTGGAAGGTGATGTGTACCTTCTATGGGAGTTTGTTAGAGACATAGTACTCCTTAGCAGGTGAGAACAAAAAAGGCAGCTACTTAACGCAAAAGCAGCAAAGTGAAGCAAACTTGGTAAATTCCATTCAGAACCTCACTCTCGTCACCTCTTGAGTGAAAAAACCCCATGGGTTGCTGGCATCCTCTTTACTATATATTCATCACTTAGTCTGTACCAGTTTTCCTGCACCGGCAAGGATGAATTCAAGTCTCTTTTCAGCTTAAAAAAACAAAAAACAAAGAAAATCTCCCTTGGGCTCTGGTTTTTTTTCCAGCTTTCTTTCTCATCTCCCTCTTCCTCTCCTAAACCAAACTTTCAAAAGAGCTTTTTCCAAACTAACTGTCTCACATGACATTCATTCATTTTTTATTTTATTTTTTTTGAACGTTCGCATTAGGCTTTATTATTTTTTTGAATTTTATTTTATTTTATTTTATTTTTATACAGCAGGTTCTTATTATCTATTTTATACGTATTAGTGTATATATGTCAATCCCAATCTCCCAGTCCATCCCACCCACTCCCACCCCCATCGACATTCATTCTTCAGATCAATGGATCCTTTTCCCTCCTTATCTTTGAAGTCTCATCTTATTTGGCCTCTCAGTTGCATTGGACATTGGTGATAACTTCCTTCAGCTGAGACTTTCTCTTCCTTGAGTTTCGTAAGAGTCGTCTCTTCTGGTGAGCAGACATGGTTACTGTATCCGCCTCTGTGAATGCTTGTGATGGAAGGAGTAGTTTGGAAACCAAAGCGATTGAAGGAAAGGCCAGCTGGACCACCTCCCAGGGCACCACTCCTTTGCAGGCCAAATTGCCCAGGAATGAATCGGAAACATGGACTCAGTTTATTTAGAAATTCTGTGTAACGCTTTACGTAAGTGGCAAAATGTAAATCGGGCCCTCTCACACCCAAGTACAAAATGTCTGAGTGGGAGTTAAAAAAAAAAGGCCTCACCAGCAATTGCCTCGCTCAGCTGCATATTTCTGTGACATGCTCCGGCAAGAGCTGTCAGCTGAGACTCTGCAAATGAAGAGGATGTTAATGTGGCGTGCTTTATGTTTATGATTCATTTTACTATCTAAATTTAAACACTTTATCAGTCCTCCCAAGAAGTTAGTTTGATTCAGAAAATCACAAAAGACAACGAAAGGGAGGGCCAGAACCACAGAAAAATGAGATTAAAAAAAAAATTTTTTTTAAGAACCTTCACTATCCTTTGCCCATGGGAGAGAATGATCAGAAGAAGCTGTTTCTGAATATAACTTGTATGAAGAGAAAATAAATTCCTTCTCATTCCCTTTAAATAAATGTTAAGTATCTAAAGAATAGTTTGAAGGTGTCACAAATTAATATCCTGCCAGTCCCCACCCACCATCCCGTGAAGATGGATTGAATGTGAGCAAACTCTGCAGTGAGGAAAAAAATCATGCTGAGAACATGGGAGGAGGAAGGGGACTCGCTTGATTCAGGTTAGGAGGACAGCTGCGATTGGCAGAAGGGCCGAGCAAACTCAGGTTTGTGGAAAATAGGTTTGAGAGTAGTGTTCTTAACCTTGGAATCCCCTGAGCAGACTTGAAAATGTTCATGGCCTGGGTCCCATGGCCAGATCCAAGTGTAATTGGTCCACAGGGTGTGGACTGAAGTGTGGGACCTTTTATATAAGCTCCTCAGGTGATGATAACATGTGGCCAGATGGAGGGTTGCTGCTTTAGAGAACCGTCTATTCGCTGGGAGCAGGCCTTTTCCCAGAGGTCAAGAGCGGTGGTTCTCAAAGGGTGTTCCCTCGGTAAGCAGCAGCAGCAGCACCTGAGAACTTGTTAGAAATGCAAATCCTTGGGCTCCACCCCAGACCTACTGGATCACAATCCCTGGGGGTGGCGAGACCCAGTGATCTGTATTGGTCGGGCCCTCCAGGTGATTCTGATGCACTAAGTCCGAGAACCACCGATGTAAGGAAAGATGGCCTTGAAGAGGGGCTGGGGAGGAAAGCGTGTAATGGTGAACAAGAGAGTAAAGGCGGGTTCCCTTCAGAGCCAAGGGGAGGGGCAAAGACAGCAACCTGGGAGCACGTTCTCTAAGGAGGGACTTCACGTACGAGGGGAGCATCTGGGGGAAATGAAGGAAATACCCGGAAAGTCCAGACTTTGGCACAGAGTGACTCTCAACAGGTCCTCTTCCCGGCCGAGGGACCCGCCATTGCCTCTCGGTCCCACGTTCTTCACGCGGCGCAGTTTTCTCAGCTGAGCGGCTGCTGGGGGATGCGACACGGGGGCGCCTCTCCCATTTGTGCAGGGGCTTGGGGCTGCTGCAGTGGCCTGAGGAGCAGGGCTGGGGTTTCCCCTCGGAGTGGAGCGAGCCGGATCCCGTTCCTAGTCGGCAGGGTGTGCCTTTTGCACCGTTCCGCCGTCAAGTGCGGGCTAGGGAGGGCCTCTGCTTCTGGCCGGCTTCACTTCTGCTTTCCTCTCTCACGCCCAGCACAGGGGCTCTGGAGACAGTTGTGCCTTTCCCTGGAAGAGTCAGAGCTGGGGAATGGCTGCCTTTACGGGGAGTTCGGGGAAGGCAGACTCTGCAGCAGAGGAGATGAGTTGCCTGGCTTACTCAATCTAGTTCCAGTTAGCAAATATTTTCAGCATGTCTCCTCCGAGGTGGGCCCTGGGCCAGCCACTGGGGAAGCAAAGAGGGGACACGGAGCTGGTACTTGGGAAGCTTTCCTACAGGTGGAAAGGATTTTCTGGTGGAGAAGGAAAATCCAGAGATCAGTGTCTTCCGCCTGAGAGCTGCTGTAATTAGGGCGATTGTTTAGGTTTACGTCCAGACCAGGACCCATTTGATAGTAAAATCGTGAGTTACTAACAGTCGCGCCAGGACAACCAGGTGTGAACTGGGACTCTCCTGGGCATCCAGGAGGCATGGCCGTGCTGGCCACACCATGCCGGGGGCGGCAGTGTGGGTTGGCAGCAGTCGCTCTCAACTGGGGCTAGACCCCACTTGGCACGCTGTGCTTCTGCAGCTCCCCTGTGTGTACCATGCTCCCCCCATAGCAGCTCCTAGCAGCACCAGCCCCGCACAGAGCACCACGTCACTCCAGCAAGGACCCAGGCATGGCTCTGATGCTCAGATGTAACGGCCAGGCTTCTGCCTTGGCCACTATCCCTGGCTCTGCCTGATACTGTGTGCAATGTGGTGCAGGGCACAAAGCTTCTCAGATCCTCATCTGTCTCCTCCATAAAATGGTGCTCCGATCTTACAGAGGTTTGGTGGGTCTGAAGGGGCCATTTAGACCTGTTTTAGATGCACATCTTTTCTCCTTTTAAGGTCCAAGTGTAACGCCTGCGTTTCCATTACACTGTACCATTTGTGAAGATGTTCTGCTGAATGTGGACATCAATTTCCCCAATGTCCTCACACAATGATTAAAACTGACGTAAAATGATTTCTCTAGCTCCAATAAACACTTCTTGAGTGCTCACTACGCTGCAGGCACTGAACTAGGGGCCATAACACACTCAGCCTCTTTCACATTAAGCCTCACACCCATTTTACAGATGAGATGAAACAAATTTCCCAAGTTTCCTATCTCAAAAATAGCAAGACTCTCTCTATCCCTAGATGAAGAGCAGCTTAAGGCAAGGACTTAGACCAGGGTCCCAGAGAGTAAGGCTGGATTCAGGAAGAAACTTGGGGATCCGGGTCCAGGATCAGGGTGAGGTGAGCAAGGTCATCCTGCAAGTGCAGGGTCAGGTCTTGTCTTTATTGAAAATTTTGATATTTTGTTCATCATGGATTTATTTTTTTTGCATTAACTTTGAATTTTAAAGGGACTCTGTTAAAATGTTAGTTTTATGTTTATTACTGACTTTTGGCACTCCCTTAAATTTTGTGCCTGAGGTCAGTGCCTCACTCCCCTTACCCTAGTCCCAGACTTGTGGAGATGCCCCTACAAGGCAGGATTGGACTTGCTATGTTACACAGTCACTTACCACCTGCGGACCCCCTGGCCCCCTCTCCCCTCCCTCCACCCAGGCCAGTGTGGATTTGTATTAATAAACCACGTGGTCAGGTCTCAGGCTCTCTGTGCTCCAGTAATTTGCACAGGCTCCGCCTCCTCTGCTAGCCCTGATCAGGACCGAGCTCTCTCCTCTTGCCCAGCACCTGGTCTGTGCTATCAGACACTCAAGGTATGTTGAATAATGAACTCAAGGCGAGGGCTTGAACTTTTTAGTCTGTACAGCCTTTTGGAGAAAAAATGCACACACGCCTGCGGACTTTGTAAAATGCTGATAAAAGCTTCTAGCCCTTATTTCTCCTTGGTAAAACCCATCTTGACCTATTCCTTTCTATTGTCTACCACCTCATCCCAGCCGGGACCCAGTGTGTTAATGGGTGTCACAATTAACACGTGTTGAGCATTTATTATGTACCAGGCACCATTGAAGATCGTTACATACGTTCACACAGTAAACCCTCATAACAAGCCTACCCGGTGGAGATTACTATTGACGCCACTTCATAAACGAGAAAAGTCAGCTACAGACAGAATGAGTGATCGTTGCAAGGTCATGCAGCTAGTAAGTGGCAGAGCTGTGATTTGAACACTGGCAGCCTGACTGCAGAGCTCGCCCACTCCCCATTCTTGGCTTTGCCTGTCGCTGGTGGGAGATGAATTCTTCTTGGACCATTGAGGAG